TTAAGCTCAAGTTAGTATTTTAACCGAGTCACTATTTTAACTACGTGTACTCAATACTTAATGGTTAAATAAAGCAAGAGAACTCATTTCCGTTAAACAGAGACTAAGATTCAGAATAATTCCCTACGGCTGGCTGTTCTTCAATAACTTAAAATTTTATTCTGCTCTGACGCAGAGTGGCCTTTACAGAGCCCTGTTACCCAAGGCGATCGCGCTTTTTGCTATGGCTGCCCCAGTCTTTATAATATGCTGCCACTGCTTACTTCTTTATTAGGGTAAAAACACTTCTTCCTCCAACTTTTAATACCTGGTGGCCCCTCAACAGCACTTCCTTTTGTAGTTTTACCAAAATAAGCAATCGAATTGTTCTCTGTCATTCAGAATTAATCCTTAAGAGAGTTGGCCGCTTAGCAGCAGTTTAGTTGCCATGTAAAATCAAGAATGCTTTATAAGGTACAGATTATATATTTCAGTTTCTTTTATACAGGAGTCTATACTTAGTCGGGAGATAAAAGGGGTAAAAACAGGTAAACAAGCTCTTGGCATCGTCGTTTTAGATTCTTCTTGGTGCTAATTTCCCATGTAAGTGTCTTCAGAACGAGATTTGTCGCTATATACTAACTAAAATTACTTTTGATAAGGTGTGTAAATCGTTATATCAACGCAAATATTATTGAAACCAATGTGTAACGGTGAATTTATAGTATTTTGCAATTTTAAAATTAATTACTTTAACCTTTTATTTCACTTCGTTCAACATCATGAAACCATTTTGTCGGACTGAAATCATAGCCTGTACTTTGATTATTAACATTTGGCAAATTATGAATTACGTACGAGGGGAAGGCTTTGCCACAATACTCAGACTGGTAAAAGCTTTTTTTATTGAAAAATTAATTCTGCTCTTAATAGCGAATTAAATACGAATAATATGTTTGTGGTCGTCCAAAGCTTATCATCATTAGTACATTACTGCATGGCGTAATGAGCGAGTCATACTGAGGAACCAATGCCAGAAAAGGTAAGTCAACTTGGCTCAAGACAAGAAGGGATTGAAAAAGCTCATGACGGAAGCTGTTCGGTTGGATGTGAAAATGATCCTTGCACTTTTCCCTACATTATTGGATCGTTTTCTTAAGCAAATTTAAATTCTAACTTGACAATTTCCAAAAATTGAAAAAATGGAAAATCCTCCGTAGAAAGATCAAGTGCAAGGAAATAATTGTTAACAAATCAAACTGTAATGATTCCCCTGATTCGCAATCATAAGTCGGCGGAAAGTCTTAACAGGTGAAGGCATAGTAATAGTACCGGAGGTAAAAAAAAAATCTATATTTAATGAATATAAAAAAGTTTTACTTTAACCATCATGCAGTATAGAGATTTAGTAATTTTTCGGTCTCTGTACCAGCAAAAATCTCTTTGGTAATGATTTAGACACGTACCGGATTTGTTTCAATCAATGGTTGATTTTTCTCTGAGCAACCACGAGGGAAAGTGTATACCTATTGCATCCACGTAAGTGCTAAAAAGGTGGCTTCAATTTTGGCTTTTAGTGCCCAAATAAATTGAACAGTTTGCAAATGTTAGTGTCCCATTGGCTTTGAAGACGGGTTAGATAGTATGCGAGAGGAGACACAGCTAAATATGATTTGAGAATATTAAACGGACGCCGCTTTTTAGTTTAGCTGTATTATTTGAAGAAAACAAACAAATATACGACCTAACAAACACACAAATCAGTCAAGACTACAATCAAAGCATACAACTTTATCATCTTTGGTGCAAGCCTTGCAATAAGATTTAGTAGTTTCTTAGTGTTGCAGACAGGTGAAATCACCAAATGACGTAATACAAAAGATTGACACTGACAGAACAATCCCGGACACACCAACAATGGTTTCCGCGACACCAAGAAACACCCAATAAATTCATTTTCTCTTGTTTTAGAGGTAATTTTGTGGATTTGTGAAAGTAATCAGCGCTGTTCTTTCTATACACAAAACCTTTACTTACACTGTATAAAATCGAGAGAATTGAAAATTCAGTCAAACTCGTTAAGTTGATTGTGTTAAATAAATTGTTTTTCTGGTGAACGAACGGAACGAAACGAATTCGAAGGAAATCAAACTGGCGTTTGCCTTATGTTATAAAACTGATTAAATAGTAAGACCTATTTTGTTGAAGAATGCTGAAGACATCACCGGCACAATGATTTCATGGTATCAGTGGCTTTTTTCAAGCAAATGTATTCCGTTATTGTTTATAATAAATGTAAGTGTCGAAATTGCTGTTCTTTTCACGTTACACAATTGTCACACGCTACAGTCAGTCTCTAAATCTGGCGAGATATTTATAGCGACGGCCCTTGACTAGCCTTCGTAGCTGGCGGGATTGTCGTGTCCGGGGTACTTTTTCAATCTTCATGCGGCTTCGGCGCCAAAAACTACAGCACTCGCCTGCTAATCCCACCAGCTAGGCCGGCTAACCCTCAACAGCTGCATCGTGGTCGTTCTTGCTGAGTAAACACCGTTGTCAAGGTACCAAGATGTCCCTTCAAATATCGGTAACAAAACTGTAAACCAATGAATTTAAAAAGTGCGAAAATTGCTTGAAAAACTTTACTGTACTACTGATAAATTAAACCCCCCTACCTTTTCCTTTCTGGTGGGTATGATATAATGCACTTCGTCCAAAACCCTTGCGTGAGAATCAAGATACATTTTGTCATTAATTACATGTAAGTCAGCCAGTGGGGTTATTGAAGCCGTTTTCGTTGTTTGCCAGCTTCTGTTAGTATCTACAAAAAAACAATTACCTTAGTTTATTGTTGCTACCATAATGCTATAGCGTTTCATGCTTTGAATTTCCTCCCTAGTGTTAATACATCTTGTTAATTTACCAATTATACAATAACCGGCAAAGAAAAAGTTTGTTTATTGAAGCATTTAACAAGAAAAATTAAACTTAAAAGCGTTAATGTTTGCTCGACGTTTCGATTTTTCAAACATCATTCTCAAGAGTGAGAGATGCATGGGTTTCAAAGTTGTTAAAAGAGTTGAAGTTTGAATAAATTAGATTGTATCCGTGAAAAGCCATGTTGCATTATTATATAGATTTGTCAACAATTCTCACTCTTGAGAATGATGTTTGAAATGCCGAAACGTCGAGTAATGTTTTTAAGTTTTACTTTTCTTGTTAAAGACAATCAAAGTTGTAGAAGTAATGTATTTGGTAAAGGAATAAACGGTAGAAGGGCTGCCCGATCGCGAGACAATTTATATAACATTGCTTCATTTTACAGCTGTTAGGAAAAGGTTATAACTAATAAGTAATACGCAATTTAAATTTTGTCAGCTGTCATTTTCTTAGGTATGTTTACTTAATTCAGCTGTTAATTTCAGGTCATCATGGCTCGGTATGTGCCTTTTCTTGCTGTTGTAGCACTGGCTTCAACAATGTATGGTACGTTTAAAAATTAGTAGTTTAAAACTGATCAGCCACAGTTACTTTCACAATTGGTTGTCATCTAAAGTTATCGGTCAAACTTTTTTTCTCGTTTTAAGTTCATTCATTTAATAGTTCTGAATGCATTACCTTTTTTGTTGTCTAAGGTGCTGTCAACGGACAAATTGGTAAGTGTTTAGTTTGGTAAAAATCAAATCATGAAATACGACACTTAAGATGATTTAAATTTTTGGTTTACTTTTAATTTTCACTCGATTACCTTACAATTGCAAATATTTTGATTGGAAATGGCCATCCCGTAGAATTTCAACACACATGCAAAGTAGCCTGCACACGAAACGGAAGAGGATAGGAGAAAATCGGACAGGGGTGTGACAGGGAATTTTTACAAGGGCATTGCAGAGCCGAGTACGCTTTTATATAAAAAATATATTTATAACTGACCAAAGCTAGGGATTAGAAATGGTCAGGCAGCGTGCAAAGAAAGTGGTGTCCGATAGCCCGGGTCTAGTGGATTTTGCTATCGGGCCACTGAATTGTCCGACGGGCAAGTGAAATTTTTTTTTGAGGAATTCAAATAACAGAAGAACTGTGAAACAATTCTGCTAGTCAAAAAGTTTTTGGGGCTACTTGAAATGACTTCTGGGCTAGTAAATGTTAGCTTCAGCTTACCCGAATGGCAAGCTGTAAAAATGATTTTCTTTGCACCCTGTCGGGGGAGCGCTAAAGTATGCCTGACACTTTTTTCATTTCTGTCTTTAATACAATTTAATCGGTGGATCTGTTTCCTTTTTTTGCTTTAAAACATGTTTTATAGACTGAGGAAAAATTTCAGCCCTCATTATTTATTGCCAAATGCGCGTTTTAAGGGTATGCGCCGCGTGGCACGTAACACGAATGTTAGAACAGACAATTAACTCTGAGGTTTTTTCTTGGCCTCGTGTGTTTTTGATTCCCTTTACTAGGGTTAAAGCTCAGTGGAGATCTTAGGGATGCTCTTGAAGAACTCAAAATTACTTCAGAGTCAGAGCTGATTCTCTGTTGCATAATTTACTTTAATTTTTTGTCTTAATCATATAGTTCAAAACGTTTGTGGCACACTATCATATTTAATGCTATTTTGTGCCTTATAAACAATAAATTATTATTATTATTATTATTATTAATTATTAAACAAACTGGAAAAAGGTTTATCTCCCATTTCCTTAAAATTATGACATTAAAAACAATTTAGTACAATCCAACTAGTGTCTATTATCAATGCTGTGTTCTGATTGGTACTAGTAGCGAAAAGCGCGGGCGTTTAGGGGCCAAAAAAAGGATTGAAGTATAGCTATTACCTAGCTAAATTTTTTTTTATTCTCGATATTTTTGACCAACTAGTTGGATTTTACTTAAACAATTATTCCTGTCGCCCTCATGGCATCCGAGTCAATAGCCCATTCGGCCTTCGGCCTCATGGGCTATTGACTCCGAGCTCATTCGGGCTCGAGGAATAATTGTTAAATATATATACGTTTTGCCTTTGTAATTTAGAGGATCCTTGCAGGAACGGAATTGATTTGGGAATCATTGTGGATAGATCACAGAGTGTGGGGAAGAGCAACTTCACGTTCTTAAAGAAAGCCGTAAACAGCTTCCTGGACAACTTTAACATTACTTCAAAGGCAACTCACACCTCTCTAATCTTCTTTGCTGATAAGGCCGTTCAGTTGTTCAGTCTGCGTGACTCGGCATATCACAGCAATCAAGCTGTTAAAAACAGAATTGATTCTGTTTCTGGCAGCCTTTTTCCCGGTAACAGAGCGGACTTAGCGCTGATGAAAGCTCACGACGAACTGTTTCATCCAGGACAGGACAGGAAAAATCGGCCCAACGTGCTCGTGGTGTTCATCTATCGAAACACGGCTGCAGAATCAGCACCCTACAGTGAGACCGTTCCACCTCTTGAGGTAGCCGTCGCCATTGTTTACTATTAGATAAGTGGAATTAACCTCCTGGCTTGAAAAGTAAAGGGTCTAGGTAGGATTGGCCTTAAAAAATTTTACGAAGATAGATTAGAAAGTAACACTGGCCTGCCTAGAAATGATTTATCCTTATGGGCCGTGAAATGAAATCTGTAGAGAAAACCATTGTTCTGATCCAATAATATAGTACACGCATAGATGCGCGAAGGGCAAAGAAAATTGAAAAGGAGAAGATGTTCCATTTAAGGTTATATATTTATTTTTTTACATTTTTTTTGTTTTGTCGCCAAGGATATAGGTACCCATATTATTGCTGTTGGTGTTGGAAACCAGATTGATATCAAAGAACTAGAGAAAATTCGTGGTGAACGTGGCTCCGCAATACAGTTTTCGGGTTTTGAGTCTCTCCTGGCAAAACCAAATGACATAGTAGCTGAAATTTGTGGTGAGTTCTTTAGGGACATTTTCTTTAAAAATATACTCTCAATAAGGAGTAGCAATCATTAAGTGTCCGTTTATAAATCATGTCAATAAAAAGCGACTAAATTTAAGGACGTTGGGAAGAAACATGATTAAATGACCGATCTCCACAAGCGCCTCTCTTTGTGATCTCAAAATGTAGTCGCGAATTTATTATTACAAATTTTAAAGAACATTATTATTGCTTGATTTGAGTAGTTAATTGCTCTGAACCTACCTGGATCCAAATAAAACTATATTTCAGTTTTAATTTATAACTGTACATGTAGCTGCTGTTTCAGATTTTGTACATGACAAAATGTACTTACCAGGGAGATTTAGAGAGAGTTAGTTATCAGTGCCCACACTCCCTTCCGTTATTCTATCGAAAGAAACCCCTCTCTTTAAAATACTTTTTAAAGTATTTTGAAAAGTATGCGAAGATTTATATTCCAGGTGCGGTGTAGGAAAACACAAGCACATCGGAAATTTAAAGCAGAATGCCCAGCAAAGGTTTTGAAATGCGTTTTAACACACACAAAAAAAGTCTGGAGTAATGAAGTAACTAGCAATCTGCGATATGAAAGTTTGTCGTCATTTAATGCGATGGAAGTAGTTTTGTAAATCTCCTTGCATGCAATGGTTTTGAAGTTTTATCACTTCAAATAAAAAGTTTGTAAGGAGCTCTGCTTTTTGACTTGGCTAAATATTTGACCACATACACAATCCTACTAGCCTTTTAGAATTTGGAGCAGAGTATGGCGTCCGAACGTTTTTATAATTTTATTGTTTTTTTTTTCTTTTAGTTATAAATGGTGGGTACACCCATTGGTCAGAATGGTCAGAATGCAGCGCAAGCTGTGGTGATGGAACCCGGATGCGTTTCAGAAACTGCACAAACCCCAAGCCAATGAGAGGAGGCTCAAACTGCGACAATATTGGACCAGCAAAAGAATTTGAAGCCTGCGATCTTCCCACTTGTGTTGATTGTAAGTATCTAAGTACTTGCCACCCATTTGTGTCGTTGGTTAGCTATTTTGATAAGCACTGGCAAGAAGGGGCCCTATAGGTGAAAGGTTCCCTTAATTTTCGCTTAACTTTCGTCAGTAACAATTTGGCGGCAAAACTTTGCTTAAAGTTGTAAGTAGAACATTTACGCATCTTAAAGTGGAGCTCAATTCAGGAAAAGGTCAGGCTGGTAATAGAGGCAAGTCAGAGTCACCTATTGATGGCAATGCTAACCGAAAAAGAAACGCATTGGCTCTTGAAATTCTTTAATTGGATTTTTGGTTTGGTACATTTGTTGAGCTCTTTTTTGAGCTACATACCTTTTCTTTTCTCCTTTTCTTTTCTTTACTTTTAAAAATAATCCATTTTTCATTCAGTACCCTTAACTCACATGGTATACCCTATAGTGCCAGGAAGCCTGTAGTGTAAAAGCCTCAGGCTTCTTTATAGACCTCCTTGTCATTACCACTTTAAACATTTAATTTTGCAAAAGAATAGTGTCTATTATCTTTTATGTATTATAAATATCTTGTATATTGCTGTTAAATTCTTGTGTGGTTGTGTGGTTAATGGCAAAATAAATAAATGAATGAATATTTGGAATATCCAAAAAACAACCTTATTCCGTTGGGACAGATTTGTTCTTTTTATTATGCTCTGTTTTATTTATTCATCGACCATAATTTTGACTAGATAACCCGATAAAAGTTAAAATATCATGCATATCTTATTTTCCTACAACTTGTTACCCTGGATCTTTCCTTTTCATTTAAGCAATTGATGGTGGGTATAGTCGATGGACCTCTTGGACCCAGTGTAGCGATAATTGTGGTGGAGGAATGCGCGTTAGATTCCGATCCTGCACTAACCCATCACCGTTCGGAAACGGCAAAAAATGTGATTATATCGGCGAACCTCAAGAGACAATTGCATGTAACATAAAGAAATGCGGTAAATATACAATTACTACAAAAGGTTATTGCTAGGTGTGGCTTGTTAGTTATTTTTACAGACCTTGAAAAATAAGGACTAATTATTCACTGTAAATTCCTAAGTGCATTTATAAGTTTCCAATACAAAGTTACCAATCATTCCACAAGAATGATTTAGACTTACATTAATGGCAAATGGCAAACGCCATTCTGGTTGCCCTAGACTGACAAACTGCCCGAGCTCAAACAACAACTTCAGCAACTGTAGCTAATTTACAAAACTTTGAATGAAAGGACAGACGAATGAAAAAAATAAATATATCAATGAATGAACGAACGAACGAACGAACGAACGAAAGAGAACAACGAATTGAACAAATGGATGGTGGATGTAAGGAAGGATGAATTCATGGGTGAATGAATGGAAAAATGAATGAAATGGAGAACACAATATATGGTATTAGTTAAAGAGAACACAGAGGTGACTGTTATAGGCGAAGCTTTGAATGTCAAGGGAAGTCAGCGTACATGCAACGTCATTTTTTTATCTATTTTTCTATTAGTGTCATCACCGTGTTCCAAGGGTATTGACCTGGGCATCTTGATCGACCGATCGAACAGCATCTTAAAGAGCAACGTCCAGCGCCTTCTCAAAGTTTTCATGCCTTCATTTCTCCAGAAATTCAAAATCTCCAAAAAGAAGACTCACATTGGTGTTATAATGTACGATAAGAGTGCGAATGTTCTTGCACCTTTTAATGGGCCCAAGTCCAACAATAAGGAGAAGGCGAAGGCCTTCATCAGAAATCTTGATCCATCAACTGCCAGCCACACACGTACTGATAAAGGGCTGGTGTCCGCATATGATCAGTTATTTAATAGGAAAAAAGGTGATCGAAGTAAGAAGCGAAACGTCCTTATAACATTTACAGATGGTCGGGCTTGGCCAAGGAGTCGCATTCGACCGTTCTCGAAAACGGTGCCTCCGCTTAAGGTATGTCTCCTGTTTAACCAGACTCCATGTTAAGCTGGTGTTTATCAAACTGAATAGTTGATAATAGTTACGTTTTCCAAGCATGCAAGCCTGTCTCCTTTCGATGTCCTTTAAAAATAATGTAAATGCCGTTGGATGTTATCTTTTGCGAACAATAGTTTGTCGAACTGGAAATTATGGGTAGCAGCGATTATATATTTTGTTGCTCGCATTGACATGTTCTAATCATAATTTGATTTATTCTTCAGTAGAGCGGACCCGACAAAATTATTAGAGGTTTCCGGTTACGAAATGCTACTGCTTTCGACTTTTCATCACAAAGAAAAAAACGTGGACACATTTCTGTTTGAAGACAGGGAAACACATCAGTGGAGAATATAAATCACTATTGTGAAAGGAATTGGCAAATCAGTAGAAATGATATAAAGAGCTAATTGCAGCAGCAATACCGGAATATAAGCAACAATCAAGATTCAAAGAAAGATTAGCCTGTTCCAGGCTCAAAGGCTCTGCACTAGTAATGTTTAAGGGTCACGAAAACTAAAGCGAAAACGGTTGCCCCCGGTTGCTTGGATTGTTTTCTCGATCCCTTAACTATCTGTGGGCCTGGCACAGGCTAAGAAAGATTGATAATCTCGATCCTAAGGTACCATCGAATTACCTCCCTTTCTTGTCTAATCAATAGATAAGGAAGAAGTGCCATATGGTTGCTGTTGGCTATGGTGTTCCTAGCAAGATAAATATGACACAACTTCAAGAGATTGGGGGAGATCACGTGGTCAAAATAAGCAATTCACTAAAAATAAAAAGCTATGTGAACAAGATAAAAAATGCGGTCTGCAGTAAGTGATGTTATATATATATAAAATTTTAGCTCTCTCGTAGCCATAAGGCCAGTACATGCAGTCTCTTCATCGTAGCATGAAGAGTAGTAACTTCGACTGCATTTTTTGCGGTTATAACAGGCTATAAGGAAGATTATCAACTGCTAAGCAGTAAGTGTCTATGGAAGAAATCATATAAAATAATAAACGCTTTCCAAATAAGTGTTTAGTTGACTTCGACAAAAGCCAAAAATTCTTCATCCTTGTGTGTTTTCTGACTTGGTCAAGGACGCAGTTTTACCACACGTCCCTATAATACAAAATACAATCCAAATAGATCTCAAAACATAAGTAGCCTATTCAAAAGTATTTAAAATGCGGTCAGTACTTAAGGTCTTAAAACATATTGCAAATAGACTATTTGAACACTGTTTGTAATTTTGTGGGTGGATGTGTCTCAAAATACATTTTAGATACAACTCAAAACAGTGTTAAACTACCCTATTTAAAAGTATTTAAATACGGTCAGCATTTAGGCTCTTAAAACATATTTCAAATAGTCTATTTGAACTATGTTTGTAACTTTGTGAGTGGATGTTTCGGTCAGGGGTCAGCGGACAAGATGGCTGCTTATTTCTTTGCTCTTGAGGAAATTGTAGTGAATTTGAGTCTAGTGTTCTGTAGCGTGTGATATATTATATCTGTTTAATATTGTGAGTGTCTACCAGTATGCCGGCTATTAATTGCGACCAATTTACCAAAATTTTAGACGGCAAACTCATTCCACTTAACTCGACAATCTCGGAGTTAAAAAAAATCAGTTAATGAGGCGATGAGTTTTCTCGAAGTTGTGAATGCGAAGTACGATGAATTGCTAGAGATGATGAAGAGCTCAAAGGATGAAAGAAAGGCTTTGGAAGATGAGAATAAGATTTTGCAAGATGAGAATAAGATCCTGAAGGCAACAATTCGCAGCATTGAAAGTTCACAAGAATCAGTTACGACAGCGAACAATGATCTGGAGCAGTACACTCGCAGAGAGTGCGTGGAAATCCGAGGAATCCCTGTTGCTGCTACTCCATCGGAAGAGCAAACTAATAATATTGTGAAGGATGTCGGTAAACTATTAGGAGTGGATATTACTGAAAATGACATTTCAGTAAGCCATCGAATGCCTCAAAGTCAAAAACACAAAGGCAAGCCTGGACCGCCAGCTATCATAGTTAAATTTGCGAGGCGTGATGTCAAAGATAATTTCTACCGTGCTAGGAAGCAGCTCAAGGACTTAACAACGCGAGATCTTGGATATTCCGAGAAAAACAAGATCTATCTTGTAGAGAGCCTGACAGAAAGTTTAAAAAGAAAATGAAACAGCTCTTTATCAAAGATTACTAGACATCTGTACGTTGTATGGGTAACTTTAAAATGGAAATAATACTGTTTTGCAATGTATGAATTTTACTCTCTTTATATACTGGTAGTTTACTTAACTATTTGTGTGTGTTTCTCTGTTTTCTTTGTTCTTGTGTCCCTGACCTAAACATTTAAACATCTTTTCTTTTAACTGGCTGCCTGACATTTTTAACTCTTAGGTTATTTCGGGCAGCCAGCGCCCCTATCATTGTCTGTACTATTGTTATAAATTTTTATTTCTTGTATATTTGGGGTGAAATAAATAAAGTGTTGTTGTTGTTGTTGTTGTTGTTGTTGTTGCGTCTCAAAATGCATTTTAGGTCCAACTCAAAACAGTGTTAAAGTACCCTATTTAAAAGTATTTAAAATACAGTCAGCATTTAAGCACTTTAAACATATTTCAAATAGTCTATTTCAACTCTGTTTGTAACAGTGTTAGTGGTTCTATGCCCAAAACACATTTTAAATACCCTATTTTCATCATATTTATCAAGCAAAATACATTGTAAATTGATGAGAGAGGTTTTCCTTTTCATGAACTGCAAATTAACTACACTTGAGATATATTTCAAACAGGGGCGAAAATTTAAATGTTTTTGTCAAATAGGAATAAAATACAGGAAATAGTGTTCAAATACTGAAAATACATTTTAAGTACTTTAAAATCAGTTTCAAAATACATATGGTTTGGCAAGGGCTAACTCCTGTCGTACTCTACAAAATATCTACTGAGAACTGAATATAACAAAACTTAAAGTGCTACTACGATCAAAATTTAATGTCAAGTTTGTTACAAAAACGCTTTCTTTTCAGTTTATCAGAAGTGGCTGTACCTGTTTCGGTCATTGAAGTGAACTTTGGCGCCCTCTAAGTGAAAATATTGAGCTTGAAAATGTAGGTTTTTCGCGTCCGCCATTACAAATTTATGTTCCAGTGACAAAGCTATTGTTCTCTGATTGTGACGTCATTTTCTGAACGCGCCAAGAAAACAAACCTGAACCTGGAGAAAACAGCGAGCGATTCCAGTCAAAGCTTCACTCGTCTTCGCCCGATTCTGGAATTGTGAAGGAGGAAATCATAGATTACGATGACTCTGTACAACCAGCACCGACTGAATATGAGAAAGTCAAATACTAAGGGCAGCTAGCCTCAGAGAAGGAAAAAAACACACTTCACCAAGTCGTATTTTATGCAGTTTGTGCCGACGGAGATTCGGACTACTGGTAGGTGTATTTGTATAGGTACTAGCTATAATAATAATACACAGGCAAGACGATCGAGAGTCCGCACCAATTTCACCTGCCTTCTAGCCACTCTCGAGTGCTCATTTATCCAAGTGTAGATAAATTTTTGCTTTATAGCTCTTCAGGCTCAGCGAATCAGAGTGGGTACAGTTTTCTGTTCAGCTAAGTTTCGGTTCTAAAGCAGCCAGCTCGTTGTCATATGCATGTGTTTTTTTTTTACCATCTTAAACGGACTGCTGTCCTTTATTATTGAAAATTTATTTGTTACTTTACTGTTACGTATCTGAGCTGAGGATTTTAGATCTAATGTTAAGTTCTCTTTGTCAGAAAAGTTAATTTACTCATTTTCAATACAAATAGATAAATAAGGGGATCGCTCGCTCTTGATTTGGTATATCAATTTAATAATTTTCAGTGCTGACATTAAAGACTGTCACATTCTTTGTAGCTCATGTTTTTTTGAAAAGGCTGTGTCTGCCTATGCCTTCCATATCGATTGACTGCAGATCATTATTGCAAGTTATAAATTGCAACGCTAATAAAAATTCAGAGATTTCACCTCATCCAACTATTGTCAATGATATCCCCTTGTATTCCCATAACTTTTATAGATAACTTTATGAAATTGTTGTATGTGACGTTTTTTTTAAATTTATTTATTATTCAAACCCAGGTGTGCATTTTTTGGATGCTCTACTGAGACCAGCTTTGAAGCTTTGGCTAGACAAGAAAATATATACAGTGGAAAGGTTAATACAGACATGTTATGATGTCTATATTATCTGGGTGTCCATATTAAGTTAGCTCTCTGGAAAAAAGTGACAGACACATGATTTATTTTATATATAGCATAAAGGAACAAGGAGGAAGAAGGGTAGGAACAATGACTGTAGCAAAAAGCCAAGGACGTGAAACTTGTTGAGCAGGAGCCAGAAAATTTATCAAAGGACTACAAACAGGGGAAGAAAGAAAGGTGTATCAAAGTCAAATGTGTCATGCTATTTGGCTGCAGATGTTTTGGTAATAAAATCTTATTAACCCGTGAACTTGGTACAATGTGTACAATTGGCACATCATTGTGACAAGAAAAATAGAAAGTGCCTGGGGAACCAGTGTCTCTAAAGCTGGATTAAGAATATATAGGAATTTTTGACTTGAAACACAGAAAAGTGGTTGTTGTCCACATTAACTACTGTGCATACTAAGCCGGTTAATTTTAAAGAAAAAATGTATGCTTTTCCTCAGGACAAACAAAACTGCCTGTTATATATGGGTGTCCAATTAAGTGGGTAGCTGTAGATCATAGAGTACTGGGTTATCACTGCATTAATAAATTATTATTATTTTGCAACTAACTTTATGTATTGAAAAACTAAATGGTTCAGTACATCACTAGGTTGCACGATTCTGCTGATAACACAGTGTGCCATAAATTCACTGCCTCTAGGAAGAAGTGTTACACAGGGGAAATTATGTTCATCATGGAGGCCCATCCTTGATTGTGCTCTGTGGGTTTTTCTTGCTGGGTTTTTCCATTGTAAAATATTATTAGAAACTAGCATTTTTAAGAGTTAAAACCCCTAAGAGAGCCTGGGAAGCAGTTTTTAACGTGCGCAGGCTGGTGACCACCTACATTGAGTTGGGGGAGAGCAAATTTGGCTGTTCTCTCTTTGTGGCTGTTTAGAACTGTCAGATTACCGAACCTTTCTTGAGTCATTGTTGAGCAGAGTCATGTTCATAAATTTCAAGCCGCTGAAAAGTACCTTTCTCCTGCTGAGCGTGATTGCATATGCTGAGTCCACCACTAGAAGTTTGCAGATCATGATATTACACTGTAGGTTCCTGTAATGCCTTCATTTTGTCTAGCATGTCATTGAAATGTGCCAGAGACCACATCATTAGCTGATATAATTCGTTTTAAGAAACCGTAGTTCATGGAGTAGTCTTCAGATTTAATCAAGAACCTTCATCAAAAAAGACTATTCCGCATTATTGCAAATGCTACATAGCTTTGCTGGTTTGAAAATGCAGAAATCTAGGACGATTGACTTTTTAAAGGCTTACCACGCATCACACTGATGGTATCAAAACGGACCAATAATAAATTTAGATGCTGGAAGATTCTTATTCCAACAAAGATACTATTCATATGAAAATGTATATTACAATGGAACCTCTATAACTAAGTCCTCGGTCTAACAAACTATTTTTTTTACTCCAGTAAAAGTAAAATATAAGGCAATATGAAAAAGAACCTCGATAAAAGTTAACAAACCTCGTTATAATAAACATATTTTGCCAGTCCCTTGGCCCTTCGTTATATCAAGGTTCCACTGTACTTAATTTTATTTATTTATTTTTCAGAAAGTGGGGAAGCCCCTTTGCCCTGCGTGGACCCTGCTCTAGCTTGGCTCAGGTTAGATAATACCCCCAAAGTAGACTATGCTAAATCAGGCAACAAAGAATAATAAAATTGCAGCCTTTAAACAGTATTACAGCCCTTGGCTTGTTTATTGTAATCACTGGTATGACTAAAAAATAATGGATTTGTATATTGCACACGGTACGTAAGACCTAAACTTGTCCTCCAGGTTCTTAGTTGGGGCCTCACATTTATCTTGTGATCGACAAGTGTGCAGATCAATTGTTACAGTAGGGTGGACAGTGCCTTTGTATGTGGTAAGGGGCCATGAAGCTTCCTCATTTATAGGAATAACATTAGTCTATCCCATATTAAAAGATACACCAAGGTTTTTTGATGTAGCAAGGCTGTGCTCTAAGAAAAATTGAAAGGAGCCCAGTGCTCCGGACCCGTGAAATCCTGGGTGCACAGCACATGATTTCTATGAAAAAATTTCCTAGTTGCCCCGGAACAATAGTTAAGCACCACGGGCCAACTGGGTGCTGGTAGAGCACAACCTCGAGTAGTGAAACATAAAGCAGCAGTGATGAGCAGGGGCCATGAAACTATCTCATACATGTACATAACCCTCAGTTGCAGTAAATATTTCAGTGAACAAGCCTTGGTGATTATTCATTTTTAACTTGCAATCTGTCAGTCACATCACTTCAGTGATTCAGTGCATGAGTGCCCCTGTGTTGGAGTTTACATCTCAAATTATGATATACTATAATAATAATTATTATTATTATCATAAGTATTCAATGCGAGATTGCAAAACTTTTCGTTATTCACTCAAAAGAAAAACAATACACAACATTCAAGATAGGATCACAATTTTATTTTAAAGACCACATCAGTAAATGGTAATAATTCTTGCTGTATTTTACAAAATTGCAAAAACAGTTTTTGCAATAAACTTGTGTGGGCTCTCTTGCTTTAGCTTGTGGTTTGAACTGACAATGTGTCTGTGCAGTTTAAATCAGGCTCTGAGTTTTGGGAATACTAAAATTGAAAAAAGCATACCTTTAATTTGTTTAGTGAGGGTTATGGCGACCCACATGTTGGAAATACTAAGGAATTTACTGTATATTAAAATATCTTACCATTCAGATTGCACCCATGATCCTGATAGATTTTAATACTTTATAATAAAAATTTACAAATAGAGTTTTAAAGCTTTTTATAAAAGCTCAAAGTAATGTTAATAGTGGTAACAGAAAAAATAGTGCACTACAAGAGCAAGGTGTGAGCGATAATAGTGTTTACAAAACTAAAGGGCTCTCTGTGATCTGTTGCCTTAGGGCAAATCTTTTTGAAAGTTTCCTAAAAGTTTCGTTGTCGTCGCGTTCCAGTCGAAGAAAGGTCTAAGAAAAAATTTATCTTCGATGACTTCGCCAGTAATAAAAGCAAAAATCACCACCGGCGATATAAATAAACTTAGCGGTGGGGACATTCACTGCAAGTTTTGCGAACTGTAAGCTTACCTCCATGCGCTCCCTCTTTATACGAAGATTTCTTTCCGGATTCAAGATCTGTCGATTGATCTTTCTTCCATATGCTAGCAAACGATCCAAGTTTAATTTTCCGCCACTGGTTTGCGTTCAAAGCCCCGTAAATGCTATTGCAGCACTCTTCGAAGTTATCAAACCGAGAAAACAGCGAAACTGTCAGCTGGAAACAAACCTATTCCTCGAATCTTACATTCAGTCGGTCAGACTCGCGTGCAACTCAATTCTATCGATTGAAGCGGTTGCTGCACACATACGGAGCCTAATGTAGTAAGATCGAAAGAGTCTTCCTAAACAAGAACGCATCGAAGTGGGAGAAAAGGGAACATTGTTGAGCAGGGTTCTTGGAAGAAAATTGTCATGCTGTGTGTACTGCGTTAAGTAAATGACGTCACAAAGCAATTGCCTTGTGTTCTTGGTAACCAGGCCACAGGAACATAGCGTTTTAATGGCGGACGAAAATTAATGGTTTTTGAGCGCCAAAAAATACCACTTTCCTTAATCGTATGAAGCTATAACTTGCACACCATGTACTTCAAGTACTAAACTTCCAATCTAGCGAAAAAAAATGGTAGTTAAAGATTTGATCGTAGTAGCACTTTAAGAAAGCCCCGCTATTTTGGGAATAAATCTTAAAGTACCAATATAATGAAGTTACGAAGCTAGTTTCTACAAATTCGATCTCTTGTTAGTTGAAACGTTATTTACTGCTGTATACTGACCCGCCACACTGTGAATTCAAAAGATAGTTCTTTTGTTTTTATCCCCAAAGATTCTGTCGAGCCAGCTCAGTTTTAAAAGAAATATTGCAGCTCTCTTCTTCGTCGTCGATGAAATTGAACCGCTACAAATTTACGACCACATATTCACATACAGACAGATATAGGGAATCATTTCAGTTGAAAATTTTTGCATCAGAAGACATTGATACGGCGGGTCTCGCGCGTGACAATAGTGAACTTACGCAACAGGACGGGAGAGGTAAGAAGATGGCAAACCTTGTGTGACAAGCGTGACAATAATTTTGTTTTGAAATATCTTTTCGCCAAACTTCGCTTTCGTTTAAACTGATCTTTTTGTAAAAGACCGGAAAACATAAAATGTTAAGTAAAGATAACGACAAAACACGTAAGTAATAACCCTGTCACGTTTGTCACACACGAGCATTTTGCAGTCCTCTTCTTCCTGCCGTCCTGTTGCGTAAACTCACTATTGCTAACATGAAGACAGAAGACTAACACGTTCAGCTGGCATGGCTTTCTATTTATATTCAAGGATCTCTTGTTTCATTTTGCACTGTTATATTCATAGGCGTACGGGCAATTTTCGGCCAGGGGGGGCGGCAAACCATTTGCCCAAAAAATTCTCGCAAGTTGCCCAAATTTTTACACAAGGGCCATACGATGCAACAACATAGGCCGTACTGGCATACGAAAGTGCCTCAATACAGTTTTTCAGGGTCAATATATACCTGCCAAGCTTG